TCTCTCTCTCTCTCTCTCTCTCTCTTCCTCTGCGATTGCGAGAAGTGGGCCGCTCGTGCGAAAGAATGGACACAAAAGGGACGGGGGTGCCTAGTCCGGGACGAATATCTTTGACTGCGCGTATCCGTGGCTGTACGTGTAGACATTGCCATGAAAGAGATGTGTGCGTTGAGATTCTCAAAGGTTCATTGTAACCGCACCTCGCGAAGGAGGCACGGAGGAGGTTGCTTGTGCGACGAGTTCACACGCGCTCTCGCGACTGGCAAACACGCGAAGGGAGAGAGAAGAGGAACCCTGCCCACTCGACATCGCGCGAGAGAGGAAGAAGGGCGTGTGCTCGAATTGTATGTCGTACGTTTCTACCGGAGCAGAAAGAAGAAGCAAATGTACGTACGAGGAAGTCTTTCGAAGCCCTCGGGATCCTTTCATGTCGCACCCCATCGGCCGATTTTATCTCCGCAACAGTTACTCCGCACACCCGAGGGAGCGTAATTAGTGGATCGCGACGGATACCTTGACTCTCCGCAATTACCGAGGGCCTCGTATGTTACCGGCAGGGAGGGAGGATAATAGCATTCCGATTCACGGTGCCTGGTAATCGCGGGGCATATTGGCGCTGGGAATATTGGATGCGGTAGAGTCGCAAGAGAGATGCAATCTGCCTCGCCAAACTAGACCGTTTCGATTCAATCGACCTTTCATTCCGAGACTATGTGTTATTGCAAGAAATTAAGCCTATGGATCTATGGTTCCGTTTACATTAATTATGCTTTTGTTGAACGTGCCTTTGCCTTTGCCTTTGCCTTTGTTTGTTTGTAGTCAAATCGAAACGATCAAACGGCTAGGTCTTCAAACGTGATTGGCTAATCAGCAAAATTCTCAGTTGAATCAGTATACGTGTATCAGAATTAGAAAAATACTACAATCACGTTGGACAAGCTCTTCCACAGTCCACTCTCACCAACAGGACACCCATTATTATAACACTATGCTATATATTGCCTGTGGATCCTTTCTACTGCGCTCAGATATTCTTTCTGATTCGTACTTTGGTACCCAAATTCGTACCTTGGAACGACCTATATATATAAAACCCATATGTAATTCCCAACACAACGTGATCGTCGTTTGAAGGAAATGGGAAAAGTCACTCGAGGATCGTGCAATGTTGCAAGAAATTGCGGCACGGGAGTCCGATGTAGCCGGTCTCCGCAAATAACGTAAACAGGACGCGCGACCGGCCACGTGGTCGTTAACTCCACCGTGCGTAAATCATCGAGCGGTGCACGGGGCCCCGGATAGGAAGCGTCGTGAAACTCTGACGCACATGTCCCGGA